CGTATCGTGTCGGTGTATTGTGCAGAAAACCACAAAAGGCATAGTGCAAGTGGCCCTTGAAATGTAACACTGAAACAAAGAAAAGCAAGCAGGATATTGTGGTGGTGTAGCAAACAGTTTTTGAAGTAAATGTAACTATGAGCTGAGAATGATAACCTTTTGTAATCAGAAATTACCAAAAATTCGTGATGACTGACTAAATTCCATGGAAATCAGGAAGCTGTTAAGGCTTGTGCCTTTAGAGCAGGTCAAAGCATTCCTGTGTTGAACTAAATTATTTTTCATCTGTAATAAATCGCTGTCTTTTAGTTCTTTCGTCCCAAATTAAGTGGTCGTGTCTGCATTTAATGTGTTAATTACCAAAGACTATAAAAGACAAAAAAAGTAAGCAGCCTATATAAATTCTCTTTCAGATAGATGCAATTGCTTTATGAATTACCAGGCAGAAATTCTCTGGACCTGGGTGATTACTACTTTGCTGGATACTACTCTCGTTTGTAAAGCAAGTTGCTTAATCTCTAGCCTTGGAGGTGACTGATTACATTTGCCGTTGCTCAGGGAATGTCTGTTCAAAATACAAATTACAGTATATCATCACCCACCCAGGTTTTTATAGGTGCCTCTGAAGCTTTCAGTGAAGACGGGAGACAAATTGCATCTCAGGAATTTACTGTGGTTTTCTAAATATTTATTACAGTTCTGTTTTTTGCCTGAGGTAGGGAAGAAGGGTTATGGTGAGTGAGGGGAGCACCAGATCACACAGGCATGCAGGAGGCTGCTTCAGCATCAGCTGTGCTGGGGATTTGCTTGCAAAATGTCCTCTTCATTTCAGATAGTGACAGACATGCTTTAGGTGCCCCTGTATGCATGTGTCCAGAATTACACCATGACCAGAGATCAGGCTGGTCACCAGCTTCAAAGTGATCTCAAACCTGTGCTGCCTATGGTGGTGCAGCTATGGCCAATATTGAGAGCATGGTAGGAAATGGGTTTTAGCAACTTGCTGACCTTTAGCACTGGGTTATGTCTATCATCCTGCTAAAGGGGGACTGCTCTAAAGTGGCCACCACTGCTCTCCATTGCCACAATTATTTTTTCAGGCTCTTCCTTCCATCTGAGCCCAGTGGATGTTGAGCCCTTGTCAGCTGAGGACCAGATACTGCTTTGGTCAATGTCAGACCATTCATAGAATCATAGAATCAACCAGGTTGGAAGAGACCTCAAAGATCATCGAGTCCAACCCTACCGTCGTTAATAGACCATGGCACTAAGAGCCACATCCAGTCTCATCTTGAAAATCTCCAGAGATGGTGAATCCGCCACCTCCCTGGGCAGCCCATTCCAATGCCTGATCACTCTTTCGTAAAAAATCTCTTCCTAATGTCCAACCTAAACCTCCCCTGGCAGAGCTTTAGTCTGTGCCCTCTTATCCTACTGCTGGTTGCCTGGGAGAATCAGTCAAATCACTGTAGAGTCTCAGCATTGGTACCTTCTTACTCTGTCTCAAACTTCACCACCAAGTATTGACTTGGAAAGTTGTAGTCTTGCCTGTATTAATCTGTATTTCCATCCGAGACAGATGGGGAAACTCAGTATAGCAGAGTTCTGTATTTCAGCTGTATGTTTTGCACTTAGCTAGTTGCAATCTGTCTTGGGAACTGGAAATACAGATTGCTTTAGTCACACCTGCAGGCATATTTCTTTGCAGATGTAGATACCTGACTAAGAATGATCTGTTACTGGTTTAGTTTTAGCAGAAAATTGGCAGTCTGTGCCTGCTAGTGCAGTCAGTGATGTAGCATTCATAGACGATCTGTGTATCAGGGTCTTGTGTGACTTCTTTGCCCTCTGACGCCAGGGGGAGTTCAGCTTTCTTCAGGTTAGGTTGCTATTGTTCACTTTACTTTACAAAGGGATTTTTGTTTTCCAACATCCAAGTCATCATTCTTTAGGGCTGTTTTTCCTTGCAGTTGTTATAATTGCCGGGGTGGGATTGTAATTCACCATTTCAGGAGTTTTGCTGGTAGGGATGATGGAAAACAGAGAGAGTGAACAAGGTTTGGAAGGTATTTTTCAAGGAAAAAGTATAATCCAGGCAGTTTGGTGCTATAAAAGTACAAGTATCTGAATGCTGTCCATGCTAATGAATTATGGGTACCAGGAGCCACAAAGCAATGAATTTGCTGGAAAGTTGTAAGGAGAATAGATTTGAAGTCAATACCAAAAGATTAACATATAAAGGAACTTTGAGAAATTAGGACCAAATTCTCACTGACAGAGTTCCACAGAGGGGGAAATGAACCACGTTTTCTGAAGCTTGGCTGGGAGCAGTCTTGGTTGGTAATAGTTCTGTGTAACAGCTCTAGTTAAACATTTAGAGTTCAAGGGGAAAGCAGTTAGCATAAAATACCATTTTGATTGAGGCTTTTCATGGCATAAACTGCGTTCCAGGGCTTCCATCAGATGACCCACATATCTTTCATCGAAGCATTTTATTTCCTCCTTGGCTTGCTGTTTAATATTAACTCTGTTTGCACTGCAGTTTCTCTTTTACTAGTCGGCATAATCTGTTTCTAGCTCCATCCAAGGTGAATCACTCCTGTCAGGAGGAGATGAGTGGTGCCTGCTCACTGCCAGGTTGCAGTACTGTTCCTATCCCATGTAAGGGGTGGAAGATCCATGCTGCGAAGTTTTTGAGTGCTTGCTGTTAGTTTGAAAGGAAAATTGCTGATGTTTTTATGCCCATTATTTTCTTTTGTCTTGTTGCAACTACAAATAAGCAAATCAGGCTGACCAAAGAGTAGAAATGTATCAGTGCACAGAGGTGTCCCAAACCCCTGCTCATTCCTGAGATATTTGCTGGATACCTGTCAGTGCTTCTGGTTTGACACTTGCCTTCCTTTATAGCACAGCTCATGCCATAAATTTTGCTCTCTGTTACCCCATCTGAATAGATTCAATAGATGTATTTTACTGTCTCTTGGATGCTCGTGGTCTCAAAATCTAAATTAATTTTCTGTGATGATTAGTTAGCCTCATGCATGCATGGAAATGAGCTGTAAGTGCAAGAGATGCTTGGCTGTGTAAATTGGTTTGAGATGATGAACTGTATCACTCTATAGGTGGTAAAATCTCTCCCCAAGCTGAGCCATTGAGCAGCCAAGTACTTCATACAACATAGATAAACAGGTACATAGTACAACAAGTGTAGTGCTTGGGGACATGATGTAGTGGTGGACTTGGCAGTCCTAGCCTAATGGTTAGACTCAATGATCTAAAGGATCTTTTCCATGATTCTGTGAGAGAAAACGCATTTTGTTAACCTGACTCTGATATTTCTATGCTTATACAATGATATTATGTAGGAAGCCGTGTGCACCTCTCTAAAATTTGCCAAGTGAGAAACATGTATCAGTGGGAACATTAGAAAGTCTCGAGTTAGTGTGGAAGACCTCAGTTTCAGGACTGTTGTTTACAAAATCCACATTTGTTGTCCAGCAGTCTTCAAAGGCAGGTCACTGTTGTAATTTCATTTTACTTATATGCAAAGAGATGGGTAAAGAAGATCTACGCATGTTTCCAGTGCTTATTTTGGTACTTCATATGGTTTATTCTCCCCTCTCCCAATGCCCTAAGCCACTTGCTGGATTCAAGGGCCATTTCCTGGTTGCAGAATTCCTATCAACATCAGTAGGAGTGTTGTGAAAACACTTGGGACTTGAGTATGGCCTCTCTTGTGCTCCCTTTTTTTTTTTTTTCCTTACCTGCCAGCCGGGTTAAAAAGCACATTTATCCCTGTGCTCTATTGATATGGTCTGTACTCAGACGTGTGGGATTTTCAAAAAGGAATCTGCCTGAAACACGGTGCCCTTCTGACACATCTGCCTTTATAAGTCTTCTATTTCTAGATCCAGATCCAGAAATGTAGCATTTTTGTCTCTGCTGGTAGTAGCTGCTTAGAGGGAGATATATTTGCTTTGCAGTTTTCTGCAGGGCCAGTTCTGCGGAGATACTGGTTGAGCCGGAAAACCCAAACTGATCTCCTTGGTGCCTGCCTTGTCATACCCTGTACTTTTTTCAGGAAAAGGGAGGATAGCAAGATGAACAAAAACTAGCTATAAGGTATACATGTGCTCCATTAATCCTAATGATCCTGTCCTGCCTTGGTACTGGCTGCAGGTTGATTGTAAAGTCTTAGTCTAATACAATGAGCTTTTGTACCATCTTAGCCATTTCTGCATAAGGTTTTGAGACATCAGTCTCCTTTGTCTGCTGTCAGCCTTGGAGAGAGATGTTATTTCATAAACCAGTTAGCTAAATTCTATTGAACTAGCTGAGTTCCTTATGCTGGGGGTGGTGGTGGGGTATTGGAATATGAATTCCCTTCCTGGAACTGGTCTTAATATGTTGTAATATCCATTGCTATCTTCACACAAATGTCTGAAGGAGTATTTATGCCATGGGCAGCCACTTTCCAGGCCTTGTGGAACAGATTCCGTATTTCTGGTTCATCAAAACACCTTACAGGCTTGACTGCTCTCTGAAGAAGGCAAGATTTTGCCCAAGTCGCTGTCCTCTGCAGAATAGTCTAGACCTGTTGTGGCAGTATCCCTGCACACAACCAGTGCTTTAGCAGAATTGCTTTAGCAGAAGGGACAGACAAAGGCAGTGCTGTTATAACCATGTAACATGGGTGGGGGGACAACTGCCTTGAACACCTTGGTGACTTTCTAGAGGGTGACCAGAAACCTGCAGCAATCCCGGGAGATGACTATAACTGATGCCCTAATGAAGAGCTTTTGGCTGCCAATAGGAAAACCTTCCCCTCAGATTTCTGCTGTGCTTTACTGCATACTTGATTACTGGGGCAAATGCATTATGTTAGCAAAAATAAGCTTTCCCTGATCAAACGTATGCTTTATCAGCCACATAAATGCCAGCATGACTCTCTCATTGCTACAACATATTAAACACCTTGGAAATGTTTCCTTAAACTCTAGGTCAGTCTTATGAAATCCGTCTACTTGAGAATAGGAAATTGGGAGAGTTTCAAGATTTAAACACAAAATATGTAAAGGTAAGGAGAAATATAGATTTCTTTTCTTCCTGCTACTACATACAGCCTCTAATGAAGGGCCTGACCTTGCTCACACTGAGACAATGGAAAACACTGCCATTGTTTTTAATGGGAGCAGGGCTGATGGAGTTGTTGAGTGGTAGTTTCATGGGACTATGCAGCTTGGCTTTGCAGGGCTTCAGGGGAACCTTTGTTCTGTTTGTGATCATGACCCCAAAGTTTCACTGTGAATATTGGGTTCAGGGGAATCCCAAAGTTCAGTGGTGAACATGGTCAAAGCTGCTGAGAGGCAGACTTGTCTCCCTACTTAACCCCAGCAACAGGCCTGGGTTGTTATATGTCAAATGGAGGACCCAGTTGTTTACATTGTTCTGCCATGCAGATTCTGCATAGCTCTGGTTTACATTGGTAATGAGAATAATTATGAACATATAGAATTTGATTGTTTGGTTTGGGGGAATTTTTTTGTTGCTTTCCCTCCTCCCAAAACAGTTCAAATTGAAAAACTTTGGTCCAGACCTTCGTTCTGGATCCAACCTTCAAGCCTTCCTCTCCCCAATTCTTGGCTGTTCTGCCTCAGGATTTCTTTTGAGAAGTGGGGACCAGTTGCAAAATTTGGATTCCAATCTGGATTTCAAATGTTGTCCAGGTTTAGGCAGTTCACTCTTTGTCTTTTGGCCCATTTCAGGTAGCATGTGGATTGGGGTCCAATTTTGCAGGTGTTCCCTGTGGGATTCCAATTTTGCAGGTGTTCCTCTGTGGCTTGCTTGCTTCTAAAAGTTTGTTTTGGGTGTTCCTCAGGTTCATTGGGAAAAGTTGCTCACTCATTTGATATGGAAGTCCCAGCAGGAGTATGGGCTTGAGAAACTGGGCTGTTAGGGGTCATTAACTCATGTAAGTGTAGCGCTCTGAATATACAAAAGGATATATTAGTTAGGAGTACTTAAGACTTGTCTGCCCTGGGGATTGCCCTTATTCCAGCCTTTTTTCTCCAGTTATTGACATGGCTGCACCATTGCAGACCAGCTTGCGGTTACAAAAGCTTTCCTATTCTACACTTGTTTAACTACACTGGGGCAAATCCAATGACTGGCTGTTAATGGCTGGAATCAAGTTTAATTCCCACTGACAAGGTGTCTGGACATGTCAGCTCCACCAGTGCAGGGGCCAGTGAGCTGGCTTCCACATTTGCTAATCAGAATGGGATATACTGGGGTTGGGACATGGTAGACACGTTAAGTATTACCCCCATGTGAGTCTTTTTGGGTGTGGAGGCAGTATAGTGATGTTTACATAGCATGACACCTGAGATTAGGTGGGCATTGCTATAGTGCTTCCAGAGCAAATCCCAGAAAGCTGTACAGGGCTGTGTTATGCAGTATAGATGTGCCCTGTGAAGGGGGAAGTGTGTTTCTCTCTCTCAGGGGTCCCTTAGGAATTTGATAAACATGGTGATGGGTCTCTTAGGTGGACCCTCTACTCTCCTCTTGAATGGGGGTGAGAAACATTAACAGATCAGCTTTTGCTTCTACTCTGGAAAACCAAAGTCATCTTGAGAGAAGGGCTTCTGGAGCACATAGTTTATATTGCTGTCTTTTCTTAACAGAGCATAATTCGTGTAGTTTTCCATGATCGACGCCTGCAGTACACAGAGCATCAGCAGCTTGAGGGCTGGAGGTGGAGTCGGCCTGGGGACCGCATCCTTGATATAGGTGAGACTATTTCATGTGGTACCTATGCAGTGTTTGGAAGCTGAATAATGTATGGAGTGCTTGCATGTGTGTTTAGGTTTTTTTATATCCTACTGTCTTAGGAATCTTGTATGTCTTTGGGTGGGAAGGAGATCTAGCACTATAGGTCCCAAATAGGTATCTCATTGGTGGCTTCACTTTTCACATGCATCTTGTGATTGTATGGAAATGTTTTCTCTTCTTCAATTTAATATTTTTAAAATTTTAGGGGTTTTCTTCTACAGATATTCCGCTGTCAGTCGGTATCTTGGATCCCAGGGCTAGCCCAACCCAGTTGAACACTGTTGAATTTCTCTGGGATCCATCAAAGAGAGCCTCAGCATTCATTCAGGTAAGAAAAAAGTGATAAAGTGATATTTCTGTGGTAAATACAGTGGTCAGATATCTTGTAAAGACCTGGAGAGTTAAAATAGCCAGGACATGAAGGAGAGAGAAAGATGTTAATGATGATATACAAATTCAAGTGGCAATCACATATAACTAATTTGTGGGATACTCACTAAATCGACTTGCTGTCTACTTGATAACTTTGGAGTACTACCTGCTACAGCTAGGATGTTCTTTAAAAGAACAAACCACAAAACCCCACAAAAAAAACCCACTGATGTTGCTTTCTAAGTGTGGGTTTTGTCTGGAGGAAGCTGTTCACAACCTCTTAGTTTTGCTTGCTTTCCTCTTTCATGAGTATTTCTCATTCCAAATGCCAACTATCTGTTTTTCAATCTGTATGTGGGATTTACTTAAATCTAAATGTTATTAATGCAATTAAATTTACTTAAATACTTAAAGGATCCTTTTCCTGATGCCATGCTTCTCTCTGAGCTACTTGTTCTTCTAATTGTTTTGTCCTGAACAGAAATGAAAATATATGAACTCTTCTGCCTATCTTAGCTTTTCAGGAGGAGCCAAAACCTCCTGTTCAGGCAATATCTGAAATTCAGATTTCACAGGTTCCAACTGTCTCCAGAGATGAGCACAGCTTCTGTTTTGCCAGGTACATTGCATCAGCACAGAATTTACTCCACGAAAACATGGAGGAGAGAAAGGGGTGCCCTTCCGGGTGCAAATCGACACCTTTAAGCAGAATGAAAATGGTGAATACACAGAACACTTGCATTCTGCAAGCTGCCAGATCAAAGTGTTCAAGGTATGAGGTAGTTTTGGCTTTGTCATCAACTAGATTAAGGCACAGGAACATGCAAAGATTTTAAATTGCATAGAAGTGAAGCAAATAGTGGAGTAAAAGAACAGACTTAACCGGATATGCTTAAGAACTTCAACAGGACTCTTGTGCACAGGGTGGCATAAGCACTGAACTACACAGCAATTCTAATTGAATTCCAGTGACCCAAGACTTAATGCCAGTCCACTGTGCTTTGAACACCATACAAATACTGAGGTATTTAGAGTATTCACTGTATTTTGATGCTCCTAGGCAATCAAGACATTATGGCATTTCAAGTTTTTGTGATTTAATCCTCCATGAACAATAAGAGTATATCTTGGAGATCTTAAATGCCCTTTTTTTTTGTTGTTGCAACAGAGTTCCTCTCTGTGCTACCTGGAGGAGAGAAAGATTCAGGGACAAAGCATCTCTGAAACTTCTGATCTGAGCTTGACAGTCCTGTAGCTACTTAACAACAAACTTCCCATAGACCTGTTTTCTCAAAGGATCTGATGCTTCAGGTTTGCTCCTGTGAGCAGTGTCTTTCCTGTTTCTGGAAAGATGGTACAAATGCCAGTTGAGATGCATAACTGGTGGGGCTTATGGTCTGAAATAGCTGGAATCTCATCTCAGGACTGTGGTCAGCCTATCTTAGAACTGCAGTAGGCATTAATGGAGGATGTATAGAAACAGTAGAAATGCTTGACTAATTTTGTTGCCTAGAAAATGCAGATCAGATCTTGTTTCATATGTAGAGTTCCCATAAATCTTAAGGAGACTTTTGTGAACAGATTAGATAAATCTGTTGGCCTCTGTCTCCAAACTTGTAATACTTGGCATAAGGAAAGCCTTTGCTTGTGCTTATAGCCTAAAGGAGCAGACAGAAAGCAGAAGACTGACAGGGAAAAAATGGAAAAGAAGACCACCCAAGAGAAGGAGAAGTATCAGCCTTCCTATGAGACAACTATTCTCACAGAGGTAAAGCATTTTAGACATGTCATGCTACATCCTGTCGGGAGATAGAGTTGAGAGAAAATGCAGTCTAACTGAGCCCTGGAGATTGTCTTGTGGAGACATGTATGCTCAGATATGATTGAAATTGAGAGCAGAGTGAAATTATAAAATATCTCTTGCTGTTGAAATTTATGAAAGATACCAAAGTTTCTTAAGTTTTGGGGTATAAACCAACCCTTTACAGTCTAGCTTTAAAACCAATATTTTGTCAATACTTCACTGTGCTCCTGGGCACTTGTCATGGCCCTCAGATGCCAGATGTAGAGGTATTTTCAGAACTGTCTCACAAAAGCTCATGGTGGAGATTGGACACTTGATCAGATGAATAGACTGATTTCTATTTTTAATCTGTTTTTCTGTGAAAGTGCCTATGAAGCTACTGCTACATACAAGATTTGTGAAGATTCTGGGTTGTACTCTAGGAATATCTTGAATGTCTTATATCCTGATGCATCTGGTGTAGGATTGTATGTGTTTCTATTCTTCACTATCATTACCTAGATGTATATATAAACTTACCCTACACTGCAGAATGACTAAGCAACAGGACTAAAGAAAGGGATTTAAAAGTGCTGTTCGGTCTCCCTATGGGAATGTCTTATAGTTTGATTTAGTTTTTTTAGAAGTGGCTTTCTGGACTTCTAAAAATGATTTTTTTTTTTTTAATTTAAAACAACTTCCTGTTTGTGAGATCCAGGCCCTCCTGCTCAATATTCCTCATGTTGCTAGGTGCAACCAGCATGTTTTGTAATTGACAGACTTAATTCTACTGAGTTGGCAGATCCCAAACTCTTCCTAGGAGATCTGATGCACTTTGACATATTGCATGGGGAAATGTGGCTTGCCAAAGAGTTAAATATTTGCCAGTGCTGTGGAGATGATAAAATATTTGCCAGTGTTTGTGGAGATAGTAAAGCTGCAAAGCTACACTTGTCTTTTTATCACTGCAAACAAGGATACTACAGAGCATTTTCTTGAGCTCTTGATGGTAGTGGGTTCCACAGGGCTAGATTTCTCCTGCTGATTACAGTGGCTTAAATTCAGAACAGAGTCACCAATTCTAGCTGGGTTAGTCTGGTTTTACACTACTGTAATGGAATGTGGAGGCTGACCTATATTTTTGAATGCTTTTAGTAGCTTTGTGTCTATCTATCTGAAATTTTCTCCATGTAGTACCCATTTATGACTTGAGCTCTTTGACTAATTGCCAGAGGTTTTAGCAGGCTGGTTCAAATTCTGCTCTTTCACTGGCATAAACCTGAAGCAATGCCACTGGAGTGTATTTGTCACTCTTGCCTGAATTTAATTAGGGATTCATAATTGAGACCAGGGGTATTTTCTGTATCATTGCTGCCTTCAGTCTGAGTTGACTTACTGGCATTGCTCTGACTTACAGCTGTGCACTCTTTGGCCCAGTGTTATTTGGGGACAGGCTTTGTGAAATGGGAGAAAGAAACGTGGAATGCACAACTGGAATCAATCTGGCCCCCTGACAGCCCTCTTGGAGAGCAGTGTAGAAAATCCATGGCCCATCTCCTCCTCCCAGCAGGAGTGATGAGCTGAAGTTAGTGGCGTGGCAACAGCATGAATGTGGTATTAGAGGAGAATCAAATCCTTTATTTCCATCCTTATGAAAGTATCCCCACTGCCTCTCTTCCAACAGTGTTCTCCCTGGCCAGATGTGCCTTATCAAATGAACAATGCTCCATCTCCAAGCTACAACAGTTCTCCCAACAGCTTCAACCTTGGAGATGGGTATGTAACAAATAAATGCTTTATCTTTCCTGTTGATGTAGTAGCTTTTGTGTGCATAAGCTTTATATGTCCATGCATGTCATACCCTGGAAGAAGAGGTCAAGGACCGCCCTTTCTAGGAAAGGGGAAGTATTTCCCAAGAGCCTTTTAGACCCTTCATGCAAGAGTTCCCTGTAAGGCAGAGAACTGTTGTATGTCTGCTGTTTATGTGGTGACTGGAAGATGAACCTCAGAACACCACCAGGGCAATTCTTGGTGAGAACACACCATACCCTGTACCAGGAATTCCCAGTATCTCCTCACAAGTGTGTTAGAGGCTTTCAGCACCTCTTTAGAGCTGATATTTCTTCCATACTTTCTGTCTTGAGGTAGTTTGGGGTGCTGAATTCCCAATTGAATGGGATGTAAAGAAGTCCTGTCTGGGGCAAAACAGCCTGGGTTTTGAGAAGTTGTTGCAGGACAAAAGACTAATGAAGGCATATTTAATCCTTAATATAGCCATCATAAAGAAACAGTTCTAGTGATCCTGAAATGCCCAATATGATAACTGATGTCAGAAATGTACAGGGTCCCTCAGTACTTCCAAGTCCTCCCTGCAACATACTTTCCCCTAGGAATTTGGCATAGGCCTTTCTTTTTCTTTTGGACTCTGCCGACTTATTGGCTTCCCACACAGTTTCTTAATCAATATTGTATTGCAAATTTTCATTGAGTCACCTCAACCTGTGAATAACTGAAACTTATGAATAACCTCAACCTATGAAACACTGGAATGCCAAAATTTTGTGTTAGTAGAAGAATCTGTCGAGCATTTTCTTCCAGTGGTAGATGATCTTTGGGAAAATCCTTAATGTGTTAAAGTCCTGTCCATGTTTTAGGAGGGTTTAGTAGAATTGTGGGTTTGTGTAATACAGTGAAATTGCAATTTAATATGTTTAAGATAACACCAGCATTGAATTATAAGATCTTTCATTCAATTTTTGTAAAGAATCATTATTAGACAGTGGATTTACTTAGAGGATTTCTAGATCATAGAAATTTTGAGTTCAGCCCTCCTGTGGGTTACAATTTTCTTGTCTAGATGATGTCACATTAGTGAGTCGTCCATATGGAAAAGCTTGAATGAGGTCAGTAAACTGAGTTTTTCTCTCAGTGTTAAGTAGGACCTCAACTGACTGACAAAAGGCTCAAGTAGAGAGGTTTTTTTATTCTTTTCTTGGTCCAGATTTTGGACACATTTTAAAAAAATCTGATAGAGAAAAAGCCAAGCTGGTATGTAACTTGTGAAAGTTGAGTCAAATGGAGGAGGGGGAAGAGGATGGACACTGCAATGTAAAATTTAAAATAATGTGTTTTTTTTCTCTTCCAACTTTATATAATTTCTTTTAGCAACAGTTCTCCAACCCACCAAATGGAGCTCCTGCCTCCCAGCAATGATGTAAGTACTTGAGATCATGTTAATGTGGTGCTTTTCTCTTTTAGGACACTGGTGAACAGTTCATTTCAAGACCTTCTTATTCTTTTTGCAATGTAGCATCTCCTTCCTTCTGCTTCTATTCAAGATGCCCAGCAGTGGCTTCATCGTAATAGGTTCTCTCCATTCTGTAGACTCTTCTCAAGTTTTTCGGGTGAGTTTAAACAGTCCAGTTATTTGGTTTTTGTTCTGTTGTATAAGTGCAGCTCATGCTTCATATCAGTAGCATCTGCTGCTGGCCACTGTTGATGGGATCACTGGTTGTTCTTAGATTAGTTAGCATTTGTCAAATTAGTTTGTAGACATACAGGATAAGTAAAGATGGAAGAGAATAAATTAAGGTGGGACTTCTTGAGTTCATCAGATGCAACCCCTGCTCGAAGCAAGTCCAGAGCCTTGTTCAGTTACTTTTGAGTATCTCCAAGGCTGCAAATTCTAGTCCCTCTAAAAAAAGTACTTAATTCCTCTCACAGTGAACATGTGTTTCTCTTGTATCTAATCAGGATTTCCCATCTTCCATCTTCTGTCTGCTGCCTCTCATCCTGTCCCTGTGCACCTTTAAGAAGCTTCTGGCTCCATCTTCACTGTACCATCCCTCTAGGTAGTTGTACACATGAGTAAGATGGTGGAAGGAGAAATTGCTAGAGATGTTGAAACCACAAGGAGCCTCTCTGACTTGCAACATGATTAAATAACCCAGTGAACATAACAATTACAGAATATTGGGTCATTTAATGGCCAGTGTTAAATATCTAGATTTTTTTCTGAGTTGGCTAGAATATTTTCCAGTGCAGCACTGCTCTTTTGGCAGCTTCTAGCTTTCTGTTTCACAACAATTGATTTGCAGTGTACACCTCTCTGAATTGGCAACTTCTCTGCGCAGATCTGTCTGGTTTAGCTTTGTGGATTCTCTCCTCCTGCCCTTTCCTGCTGCCCATACACACAATCTGGAAGCTAGGATTTTTTTAACTTCTGAAAAAAATCAATTTGAAATATATAGGTGCCGACTTACTGAAGATGTCCAAAGATGATTTTGTTCAAATCTGTGGGCCTGCTGATGGAATTCGGCTCTTCAATGCAATCAAAGGAAGGTTTGTACTACTTCCTTCCTATGTTTTTTTGAGTTATGACAGCATCCCTAGGTAATTTCAGTGTTAACTAGAAGTTAATCCTGGAGCTGTAGCATTTCGGCTTCCTTTTAACACTTCAGAGAGGTAATCTCAGAGACTGGAGGTAATGACAATGGTATCCAAATCCAAGCACAGCTCAGAAATGTTGCCAGAATGAAGCAGCATAATGTGGATCTCCAGTGGTTTATTTGCTACCAGCTGATAGTTTCCATCCATCTCATGAGAGACACAGCTTACAATATCCTGTGTCGCGTCTCTGTCACAGGTAACGAACAACAAAACAGTGAATTCATGGAGCCTCAAATGACTCTTAAACTTACTTTCATTCCAATAACCTCATAGATTTTACAGCTGGGCAGAATTTCAATCAGTAGAGGCAGGTATGGTGAACTGCTTGGCAAGTGCTATAAACTGTTTATACCTATCTGATCCTGAAAGATTAAGGTGCTCTGCACCATCTTCCAGGGGACTCTTACTAGATGTCCTAAGACATCTAGTCCCCAGCATCAAGACTATCCCTTAGTTTGTTATTTATGCACAGGCTGAATGATTCCATCTCTCATTGTTTGGTAGCTGACTGGAACAATTTTAGATCTTCTAAATAACTTACTACTGTTTTTTAATAATCCATAGAAATGTAAGGCCCAAGATGACAATTTATGTCTGTCAAGAACCAGAGCAAAACAGGTCCCATCTCCACCAAAAACGAGAAAATGGAGATGGCAGTCTTTGTGGTAAGTTTTTACTTATGGATTTTGTTAAACACTTAACTGGTGAGAATGCTGCTTTCAGCCTGAGCTCCTGTGTGGGACAGCTATTGGTGCACTGACTGTTTGAAGAGGTCCTGTTTATCCCAGTTCTGCCACTTTGGTTAGTTTCAGGGCTACAGATTCCAACTGGTACTGTCTGCCTGGGAAACAGTCCCAACTTTGAAACTAACTACAGAATGCCACAGCAAAATCTCTATTCAGTTCTTAGTAGGGACAATAGCATTAAAAACTACCCTTCCATCCACAATTTGCTTTAGATTATGACTTGTTTGAAAAAAAATCTGGTAAGTGGAAGGTCAGGAGGTCTTAAAGTGAGGTTCTCCTTCTTGAAAGTTCAAACCTTTTGGGGAGTTGTCATCTCTCATGACATGGTGTACAATCAAATGAAAACAGATTATCCTTAGCTCTTGCAGTTAATAATAGCCAGGCACAGTTTTTCTACCTAGTTTCTATAATTTGGATTGAATTTAAAAACCAGTACTGTCAGCTGGAGTTACCTGATATGTTGTATGCTCTAGTTGGTGCCTATGGGATCAGTGGATGGCATCTAATAAAATTCTGCTTTTGTGTAACATAATAGCATGTGTTTTACTATTAATTGGTTCTTTTTATAAAATGTCAGAATCAGTAAAAGTAGATTATCCAAACGTGTTAGCATCTTTATGAGAGGGGTTTTTGGTGCCCTGTCATACATGTTGTCATTAGTCCCCATGTTTTCCTCTGGGAAAAAGTTGTGTGTGCTTTAATTGGCCACTACATCTAGATACTGGGTATTTTTCTGCAGATCATCAAGCTGGATATTTGGGGGCTGCTGTAAAAGTACTAAGCTCATTTATCTACTTTCAAAATTTGAACCTTCATCTTGCACCCATTTGGTTGTTGATGCTAAGCAACTTGGTGCAATCTGTAATTACTTTCAACTTGTTGCAGTATATCATGCAATCTTCTTAGAAGAATTGACCACGCTGGAATTAATTGAGAAGATTGCAAACTTGTACAGCATTTCTCCACAGCAGATAAATCGGATCTATCGGCAGGGACCCACAGGGATCCATGTATTGGTGAGCAATGAGGTAAGAAGATAATGCAAACTTTGTTAGAGCTGTAAGAGTTGTCTGACTTCTTGAAGTTAGAATGAACTTTCAAATTATGGAATGAAGCTTTAAGGGAGCATTTCAAAATTACTAATCCCAGCAAGCTAAATACTTAGAGTGAATCAGTCATGCACAGCATTGATTTTGGTGTTGCTTCAAGACCTTTACTTTGTAAAAGAGGTTGGATTTTTTCTTTGTTTGATTTGAGCAAAACAAAACAGGACAAAATTGGTCATTTTCACTCGCTACAACTACCTGAATGGTGATTGTAGCAAGGAGTTTGTCTCTTCTCCCAAGTAACAGGACAAGAGGAAATGGCCTCAGGTTGCACCAGGGAAGTTTAGACTGGGTATTATCAAAAACTCGTTCATCAAAAAGGCTTGTCAGGCATTGGAACAGGCTGCCCAGGGAAAGTGTTTGAGTCACCGTCCCTGGAGGTATTTAAAAGATGTGTAGATATGGCACTTAGGACATCATTTTGTGGTGGACTTGCTGGCACTAGGTTAGTGTTTGGGCTTGATGATCTTGGAGGTTTTTTCCTAACCTAAATGATTCTATGAATTTATTTCCGTCTTGGCTACTTACACAATTTTTGAAGTAAGGATGTAAAGCAAAAACCTTTAAAAGTAAATAGGTAAGTTTCCTAAAGTTTGAAAATCTGTACGTCAATTTGTCTTACATCTTGGCCAGTGATTACAGCCACTGAGTCAGTCAGTGCCCTATAAGTGTACGCTATAGTTTAATGGACCTCTGGTAGCTGTTTGTGTCCCATTATATGATGGCTTAATTTAGTCCATTCCATTAACTTGCAGGTTAATAGTGAGTTGCCCTTCTTCCTCTTTTCCCCCTACTAAATTACTTACTCATTCATGCACCAGAATCACTTAAGGAGCTTCATTTATAAGAAACATTGTTAAAACAAATGAAGCAGAGCATAGGTCTCAACTAGAGCCTAAATTGAAGGCTGTAATGCTTATTCCTGAAGTCTCCTTGCTATTCCAGCCTGATTAAATCTGAAACTTTGATGCTTTATGGATGCAAAATGCTTGGAGGCAACTCTTGGTAGGGGAATTTCATGAACCAGCTTGGGCATAAGGCTTTAAGTATTTGTTTAAGTCAATTATTAACAATGTCTATTGCTTTTTAAAATATTTTTTTCTTGTTCTAGTACTATAGTGTCAAGAGTGAGGCACTCTGTGAATGTACTTCATGCATCATTAGGCAGAGACACACAAACTGGGCCGTGAAGTTTGATTTGCAGGAGCAGGAGCTGGATGCTAAACCCAAAAGAGAATAGGGAGATTAGACTAAGTTGAAAAGGGTATTTTGGTGTAACAATTTACAGCTGGAAGGTGCACTACTTGAATGATATTCAGTAGTTAGAGAAGGCTTTTTCTTAAAGCTGGATTTTATGACCTGATCAGAGAAGTTCTGGTCACATGTCCTTCCTCTGAAATCGTGTCCAGTATCTGCTTCAGCTGTGTGAGACACCTCCTGAGGGTAATTAACCTCCTCTGTCCCACAGAGATACTATAAGATGGGAGGAAGCATTGACTAAGGATGAAGCTTAAATGGGCTTTTCATATTGGATCTGAAGTCATCTGAATCTTTTAACTCACCTCTTTAGTTAGGGGCGTCACTAGAACCTGCACCTGTTCTGAAAATCTAGTTGTTTCTCATGAATAACTAACTTAAATAGCTTTAGATTCTAATCTTGATTCCCATGATTTGCCTTGCCTTGCATAGCAGTTTCGTTAAGATTCCTGTTCCTTGACAAAATACAAACAGGTAAATGATTCCTGGAAGCACAGTATCTATACTATGTTTGGTCAAAATAACCAGATGGACACTGCCAAGGTGGCTTTGCAGTAGTAATTCCTTTATTCAAGCAAGGAATCAATTTCTTGGGACTTATCACCTCTAGATATTATTTAAATGCTAATGTAAGCTCAACTGAGCTCTGTCATTCATCTGAATATGTAATTACCACCCTTAGATATTAGGAAAGGGACTGTCTTTATCCAGTCCAAACTAGTGTAGCTTCACTGAAGGCAAGTGAGAGCATGATCATTAATAGAATAACTGGAGTGGTATAAGAACCTGCAGGATCAAGAGCTGCAAAGAGAATGGTGAAATGTTGAATAAGCTATGTCAGTTCCAGGCAAGCACTTCTCTTAAACACATTAGGAACTGCAAGGACCTTAATTAATCAGTCATGTACTTTAATAATCTTATGAGCAGAGTTACTGAGGATTGTGTAGGACTAGACAACAAATGGTGTTGGATAACCCTCCTCTAAGTCTACACTGACATGGAAAGAAACTTGAATATAATTACTAAAAATATGTTATGTTGGCTTTTTTCCTTCTGCCCTTCAGATGGTGCAAAACTTCCAAGATGAGTCTTGTTTTGTTATCAGCACATTAAAAGGTATGTATTGCTGCTGTTATTACCTGTGGCTCTAAAGATAATTCTTCCTTTCGATTGCACTAAATGTTATCACAAACTCAGTGCTGTTATCCTGAAAAGATAAGTAATGTGATTTAGCGTAAGTCAAGGTATTGACTACACTCGGATAGGCTGATTGATCTATGCTTTTCTCTCAGTTGCATTGTTATAAAAATTTTCATAAATCCATTGATACCACTGATGTAAATGAGCAGAAAGTCTTCTAATGAAATGATAAAAGATGACAATTCATATGTGCGTTTTTTATGTAAATGATTTGACCTAGATTTTCAACATTTGATTTTCGTGAGTGGGTTGTGGAGCAAGAGAACAAATTATTGCAAACTACCTAAGAAGAAAATCTGAAGTTCTGTATCTCTGGTGTTTTCTAAAAGCAATGAAAATATGCTTTGCATTTCTTTGTTACAGCTGAAAGCAATGATGGCTACCACATCATTTTAAAATGACCGTGCTGCACAGAAAGACTTTAACAGCCTAAAATTTAGTGCCTCACTGAGATTGCTACAACCTAGATGGAAACATGAAGAACCTTCTGGATAAACGCTCCTGTGAACTAAGAATTACCAAACAGCTTAAGGAAAAACTTGCTTTTACAGATACACATTTTTGGTGGTGTGTGATTTTGGTTTTGGTTTTTTTCCTTTGTTTTTGAAACTGGAGCTGAGAACATCCTCAAAGCTTGTACATGTTTCTTCCTCCCTCCCCTCCTCTTCAGTCTTAAAAAATTGTTGAGGTTTCTGCTTATTATGTAGAAACATCTGCCTTGTACTAAAGGGAAATGAAAGATAAACAAATCCCAATCCTTTAGACCCCTTATGGTTGGGCAAATTGATTTACTTACTGTTCTGAGTGCTCTCTTGCTTTCAACACACACCCTGTTGCTGATGGACGTAGACTCCCTGGGGCTCCTCTTTTGCTCTTTGAGGTGGAAGGCTTGGGCCTACATCCAAAAACAGATTGGGCAATGCAGAGGATGGATTTGATGCCCAGTCCTTACCCAAAGTGTCAACTCTGGAAGCTCACACTTAGCTGTTTTCCACCTGCAGATGTGCTCAAAGTCCAGAGATTTTGGTCCCTCATGACAGAGCTTCTGTAATACCAATCCAACAGAAAAATTCTGGGGCGTTCAAGGGAGAAATGACAACCTGAAACACACAGTTCAGTATCATATTATCTTTAGCCTTAGTCTCCTTGACTGGAGTATATGAAGGTTTTCTGAGGAGATGTTTTGAACATAGAAAGTTATAGAGCTCATGACAAATTCTTACCGTGGATTTATTCTACTCTACAACATAGTGATTAACTGCTATCTTTACTGTAACTGGGAATTAGGTTTTGTAATCTTAATGAATTTTCTTCCTGTTACTAAAGTAAAACTGAGTTTTGATCGAGTCCCGGTAACAGATCATCTTAGTTGCTGCTTGTTATATTCTTCTTCTTTCATTCTTGACTCCTGTTTCCAATATCAGCAACTATGGTCAGCTCCACCCTCCCCTGGTCTTTTGGAATGCCATCCAGGCTCCATTAAGCTGAACATTGATGTCAAAGGCAAACTGGATCACACCTTTCTTGCATGGATGAATCCGTTTCACTTTTGGCACCTAAATAAGGCTATTTCCCAAACTGTGTGTCTACATAGCATCAAAATCTGATTCTTGAATGTTTAATTTCATCCTGAATTGACATGGAAAGCTGAAATACCAAACATTTTCCTGGAATGGAAATTTTTCAAAAAATGAGAAATTGTCAGCTGGAAAACACTGAATAAAATGTTCCAGCCTTTGGAAATGGAAACATTTAATTAAATCCATTTGGCCCTTAAAGCAGCATCAGTTTGAGCTACTGTTGCAGCCCTCAGAAATTATCGTTCAAGTGCCTTGCGCGCCGTGTCTCCCTGGGGGCCAAGCTCTTTGGCTGAATTGCAGATCCCATGATGCTCTTACCATGGGTTAGTCAAGCAGGGAATGCGTCACGAAGGCTGGAGGGGTGCCCAGAGAAAGAGGAGGCCATGGAGCCCTTGAGTTACAGCTCCCAACTGACACTAGAGGAATTCGGACAGACACGGACTGATATTTTTCTGACAAAAATTATGTGTTTCAAGTTTTCCCAACAGAAATAAACAGCAAAAATATTGAGAAAAGCAACCTTTTTTTCATTAAAAGCGTCAAGTTTTGCGCAAAAACCCCCACCCATCCCCACTGATTTTTTAATTTTTTTTCACACTGAAAGTAATACTAGAATAGAAAAATCATGTTACAATGGGAAAACCTTCAGCCAACTCAGCTAATTGAGTAACAGTGCCTACTTAGGCATGATCTTGCTCAACTGGCTGTCCTGGATGCTCCATGAGTTGTAGTGTTTCTCCAAAAAGGATGCCTAGGCTTTGGGACATTGTGATTCCTCCCCTTGAAGTGAAGGAATTGAGGCTTCTTGGTTGAAAAACAGGTTGTGTAGGTGAGGAGGAGCTTCTGGCCATGGACACTGGGGCATCCAGCTTGTGGCCATACAGTTACAGCTGCTTTCCAAAACAGTGAATAATTTCCAGATGTTTTTGTGAGTAGGTGGGACCAGTGTGTTCCTGTGTACCAAGAGTTGTTTGGTTTATTTTGTATAAAGTGCTTTGGAAGATGCATTTAACACTGTCTCCTACAGCATACTTCTAGAAAAACTGTCTGCTCGTGGCTTGGATGGGTGGACTCTTCAATGGCTAAAAAACTGGCTGGATGGCTGCGCCCAGAGAGTTGTGGTTAATGGAGCTAAATCCAATTGGTGGCCAGTCACTAGTGGTGTTCCCCAGGGCTCGGCACCGGGGCCAGTCCTGTTGAACATCCTTTAGTCATGATCTGGACATGGGGATTGAGTGTCCCCTAGCAAATTTGCAGTTGACACTAAGTTGGGTGGGAGTGTTGCTCTGCCTGAGGGTAGGAAAGCTCTACAGAGAAACCTGGACCAATTTGATCAGTGAGTTGAGGACAACTGCAATAAGGTGACATTGAGGGGCTGGAGTGAGTTCAGCGTAGGGCAACAAGGCTCAGAAAAGGTCTGGAAAAATTGTTGTGTGAGGAACAGCTGAGGGAGTTGGGTTCGTTTAGCCTTGAGAAGAGGCAGCCCAGAGGTGAGCTCATGACTCTCTACAACTACATGAAAGGGGGTGGTAGAGGGAGAGGGGATGGTCTCTCTTGCCATGCCTGCAGGGGAAGAGGAGAGGGAAAGGTCATAAGCTGAGACAGGGGAGGTTTAGATTAGATGTTGGGAGAAAGTTTTTCATGGTTAGAGTGGTCAGGCACTGGAACAGGTTGCCCAGGGAGGTGGTGGAATCACCCTCCCTGGAATTGTGTAAAGGGCATCTGGATCTGATGCTGGTGGATATGGTTTAGGGGTTCCAGCAGAGTGTCAGGCTAATGGCTGGACTCAATGATCTTAGGGGTCTCCCCCCAGCCTTGATGATTCTGTGATTCTATGTATGTTGGCTGTGCTTTTTCATCTTGTTCTGTAATATTGGCCCAATATATGGTGTGGCTGTCACTGGCACATGACTCAAATGAATTTGACTTCATGAGAAGGGTTTAAGAAAGACCTTGAAGTTGCCAAGGGTGTAACCTGTACTGTATCAACTTAGATGTGATAGCCTTGTAACTGAGGGGACACAGCAATACTGAAACACTGCAAAGTGAAGAAAGGATAGAGGTAGCTTTGCTCCCAGAGTTAGGGACTGAGAACTGTTTGCTTATTTTAAAAAGTCTAACTTCTTGGTTATCTAAAAAACAACCCTTGCTTGTAAGGAATTATATGCAGAAGTCCTCATAATGTTTCAATAACACTTGCTTGATAAATTTTGATCAAAAATAAATCTATTAGGGCATTGCTATATTTACATTTTTTTAGATAAAATAATTTTATTCTGATATGAGGGTGAACGTGACAGTATATCTTGCTCTCCTTTCCATGTTCTCAGAAGGTATACCAGAGTAAATAATTCCATAGATTATAAATACTGTCCTACTGAGTGAGCTCTACTGTTTTATCTAAGTTAACCTGTTGTAAAGCTGTATAGCTTTAATGTGTCTGTAGTACCTATGCTTACTTAACAGACTAGTTGAACCTCTGTAGTCACAGCAGAAATTTGGAGGTTTGTGGTCAAGTAAAATACACACTCATGAAGAGACAGCACAGCTGATTTGGTGTCTAGGAGACTGCTGAGTTACTTCAACTCAGAATCATAGATTATCTCAAGTTGGAAGGGACCCATAAATGTTATCAAGTCTAAAGCCCTGCTCCTTACAGAAGCACCTAAAACCAAACCATGTGACGAAGAGCATCATCCAGAGCATCCAAGATGCAGCTTGAACTCTGGCAGGCTTGGTGCCATGACCAAGGGCAATCCCTAGGGAGCCTGTTCCAGTGAACAACCACCCTCTCTCAGCAAAGAATCGTTCTCCAATGTCCAATCTCAACCTGCCCTGGTTCAGTTTCATTGCATTTCTCACATCCTGTCACTGATGACCAGAGAGACTAGGTCAGCACCTCCCTGTCTGCTGCTCCTCTTGAGGAAGGCACAGACTGTGATGCATCTCTGGGTGTCAGGAAAACATGTTGCACCCTTTGCACTTGATGCTGCTTGACCAGCTGGTTGTTTTATGGGCACAAACTGGCCACAAACCATTTTGGCTGAGCAGCTAGTGCATGTGGTTAGAGCAATGTCGATGTGAGATTGGACTGCTGAGGAACCTTCCCCTCTGCATCCTGGAATCATAAATGCAAACCCTTGCCCTGTTGAAGCTGTTGAGTTTGTCCATGCAGAAACTAAGCAAAGCCTTTGGGGTTTATTTTAATGGCTTATGTGAGGAGTGAGAAAGAGAGAGACTTGTCTCACCTATGTAAGTGTCAGGTAATTCTAGACTTTCAGTATGGCTGCAGAGTGTCTGCCATCCCTGGAGGGACTTGCTTGACCTGTTTGTGGATGTAACAGCCTCCAGAAGGAAGCTTTTGTTTCCCCAAGACTGGAGGAAGTACAAATTAATAGTCTGGACTAGATGTTTAAATTTTAGATAGACTAAAGCCAAGGGAGGTAAGTAGCTCCCCCTCATCTAAATATCCAAAAGAGTTTCGCATTTACTTTGCTGGTAAGTGCCTGTTACACTTATTTTTGCCTTTTTTTTTTTTTTGGTGTTGTTGCTCCTATTTCTTTTCGAAAAAGTAACAAATGAAACCTCCTGCTCAAAGTGATTTAAATGAGACTTTTTTCAAATATATGTGAAAGTTGTACAGCAGACCTTTATAAGTTTTAGGATAACAATGAATAATATGTTTTCCCAAACTGTCCAGCTCTTCAGCTGTGTGTATGATGACAGCCACTATGAGTAGAAGTGGGCTTGCTGGGGATGAAAAGGCAGAATCCTTACGTGATTAAACCCGATGTGATTCCGGCCAGTACTGCAAAGTATAAACCGATGTTCTTGTCAGATCTGTACTGTCTCTTTGAAATGATTTTACAAATTGTGGTATTTTCTCTGTCAACTGAGTAAATTGATACAGATCAGTTAGTATGACTCTGGTAATGTTCTGAGAACTCACAGAAATGCCCATGATACACAGCTGCAGGGCAGGGAAGGGGCAAATAATCTGGTGATAAAAATTTGGCCATCTGACTGAGGTGGCAAGACTGGTACTATTAAAATTAAAGCTCCTGTTCTTTCAGCTGGCCCTGCATGGTTAATTGGCTAAAATAGAAATAATCATTCAATCTGGAAAATATT